TCCATTCACACTAGGCCCTTTGCTACTATACTCTTATATCACCCTTCAGTTGTGTTGACCTTTCTGATTGTAACAGTGAATAACAAAAAATAACATGGGAGTGAAAACAGGAGTGACTTTTGTTAAATGTAGAAGCCAGCTTTTCTTTTGTTGAAAAGGATAGGATACTGGGGATCTGAGGCTGAAAAAGTCCTGGGAGGGAGAGAGGACCTCAGATCGGTGAATGTTAACAGTGGTAAAATGCAAAATAGGAAATGAAAAGACTTGAGTTGCTGAGACTACTCAGGTATCAGGGAACAAGAGTCTTGTTTGAAAAGGAGAATTTAAAATTTGTGGGCAAGAAAACTGAGAAGGAGGGTAGAAGGTGGAACTGCAAAAGCAAGGAAGAAGTGATGAATCGGTATTTGGAAGGCACAGCATGGAACAAATGTGAAGAGGCAGAGTGCAGGATGTGTGCTATCATGTCATGGTGGAGGGAGAAACAGCAGCAATGCCTGGGTTGCCAGAAGGGAACTTGCCTACAGACCTGGCAATAGGGGCCAGGAATCCCATGGTTTGCTCTGCTTCCAACACTGCTGCATGCAGTTGCTGGTGGCCAGTCCCATCCCCTGCAGATTCAGCAGAGTGTTCCTGTCAGGCTTCTTTCCATTATTTAAAAAAAAAAAAAAAAAAAATAGTTAGGGAAACCAAAGGCCATTGCATTGTTATGGTTGTAGAACTCAAGCGCTGATGTAGTAATGCTAGCTTAGTGTGATTCTGGCAACCTTATCTGAAAAACAGTGATAAAAGGCCCATCTAACAAGAGCATTATGAGGATTAATTGGGTATATGTTGAAAAGTACTGCAGAGTTTTATCATGCATTTCTGTTGATTTCACTTTTGAATCAAAAGTCACAGAAATAAATTGGTGTGGCCCAGATGGGAAAAATATATGAAACATTATTTTTTTTCTAAAGCCCCACTACAAGCCATTGAGGCTAAAAATTATTTTAAAGAATGTGAAAGTGTTTTATTTTTTTCAAGTGAATATGTTCTTTCCTGTGCTGAAGAAATGGAGGACTGGCTTTCCTATCTGTTTGAAGATTAATCTACATTCAAGATTTTCTAGCCTCAAAGTTGTCTTGTGAGAGCAGTACTTATTGACAGGAACAAAAACTAATCCACATTAAGCAGTTTAATATATTCAAAAATGAAATGTCAGGCAACATGAGGCAAAAATGTGTTCCTTTGTCTCTCTTTTTTTCTAATTGAGTGGGAAAAAATCACCTTGACATGGGGCGGTTAAAAGCTGGTATTTGTGGAGCCATTAATTTGATCTGGTAGAAAGTGGCTTTCATGAAAAGCAGCAAGTTAACTGAACGTCACCATCTTTGCCATTTTTGGAATATTGCAATTTATATTCCCTTTGCAGAAGTTCTGCTAGCTTTTTGGTCAGTCGGCATTGTCCATTTGCTTTTTGTGCTTGATGATAACAGTGGAGTGACAGCCAAGACAATAGCTATATTTTGTCTTAATGGGAGTGCACAGGATTTTTGATGCATATGTATGTGTATATATGGGATCAAAACTCAGAATTGAATCAATTTGCCAGGCCTTTTTATTTTAATAAGCTGTTTCTTTTATGATGATGATGATGGTAAAGGAGATAAGAAACAAAAAGGAACCTTTGTGCCTAGAGTTCTTTCCAGAAAAGACAGACTCCTTAAAAAGATGTCTATACTGTATCTCTTCTGGCATTGATGTTGGATGCTGGGATGCTGCCAGTTGGATTATTTGTAGCACAGCTGTGACATTCTGTACTAACATCTGTGCTGCTGTAGGAGGTATTTCCCTTTAAACTATTCCTTAGATGCTCAGAGTATCAGTCAGAGCAGGGCTTCCTTGGTATAAAGGCTATGCAATTGTTCATTAAATCTTTTCTGATTACGTGCTGTCCTTAGAAGACTATTTAATTGCTTACGTGAGGGAATAAATAAAAATAATTAGAAACTTTTTTGAATTTGAAGGGGAAAAAAAAATCTCCTGATATAGACCTAGGCATAAATGTGAGACAGTGTATATCTCTCTGATATACACTAAGTTGACAGTCACAAACTCCAGTCTATCAAGTGAACAGATAATATGCATTTTAGCATGCTTATGTATGTAAGAGGTATCTGTATTTCTGTGATTCTATCAGTTTCCAGATCATATGCTCAAGGTCTAAATTACTTTTCCTTCCAAATAAAGTTTCTACCCTGTTTCTACATTTCATCATCTTGAGGTGTTGAGCTAAGCACTTAGTCCTAAACTTGAGGACTGAAACAAATGGTGCCTTAGTCGTTATTTGGGTACTGCTTTTAAAAATGTGTGTAATATTTAGAAGGAGGCACCTTCAAGTATCTCATGGAACCAAGAGTCCCTTGCCCAGCATCCTGCTCAACCTATCTCATGGCCCCGGGAGTGTCTTCCCTGCCAGGAGGTGGTTACCTTCTGAGTTCCCAGCACAGGGCACACTACATGTCCTGTGTGGCTGTAAATGGTTTGATACAAAGCCTTTGGATCCCACTGTCAGAGCAGCTGATGAATTCTGTGACAGGGAGATGCTGAGTTCAGGAGTATTGACAGGGAGCTGTGCTGGAAGCATCCCTGAGTCATGCTCCCTGACTGTTTGCTGTTTCTGTTCTATGAATTGTACGTTTCCACTCAGTGAGTGGCACAGCTTCAGACTATGACTCCTCCCAGAGCTTTGCTTTTAGTCTGGTTGCTAGGAGATGGAAGCTTTGAGTTCAGGTTCCCCCCCACCAAAGCTATCAAAGACTTCACATTCCAGATTTTGCACCTCTTCACTGTGCATTGCAACAAGAAGGCACAGTTCTGGTCTGTTTCCTCTTAGCCGTGTGCTCCAACACATAGGCTAGCATGCATCAGCATACAGCCTTGTGCAGCCCTGTGGCCAGGCTCTGTTGTGCTCTTCCATGAGCTCAGTGCATCTGCTCTGAAAAAAGCTCGCTGCTGTGTGTTCACTTCACATGGTGGGTTCAGTGACCAAGAGGGGCTCTAGAGTGCATGTGTATTCAGGAACAGCAAATCTGTGGTACACAAATAGATGGGATAAGGAGATGCACTTCTCATCTGTGGGACAGCACTTCTTGGCTGTTCAGGAATTATTCTGGAGTTATCTTTACCAATACATGTACCAATATGCTGTATAAGTTGTGTCTGTACAGTTAGTTGTTTTGGCAGCTTACATGATTTAGTTCCCTTCGCACTGCACCCTTGATAGTGGCCCGGGCATTGGTAAATTTGCTGAAGATCCCTTGAAAATTTTCATGAGCATAAACTGAGGGCTTGAGGAAGTTTATAGCAGAAAGGATCATCTAGTTTTAGAAATAAGGATCCCAACCTTGAGACTGCTAAGGAATTGGGTGATTTATGCTTTGTTGCCAAGAAAGAATTTTCCTGTATAACTTATGAATATTTTCTTGTAGAAATTAATATGCTATCTCTTATGGCAGATATCAGTTGCCTTTGGAATTAAAAGGTAAATTATATTAAGGTTGAATTCTTTGCAAAAAGAAAAAAAAATCATGTAATTTTTACTTGAGTCTATCATTGTTTAAGAAAATGCGTGCAAGACCAATTTGGCCAACTCCAAAAAAAAAAAAAATGCAGAGCTTAGCTTCAGCTCATATTAGTGCCCAAGAGGTCTCATTCTGATTGTTTATGGAGTTAATTATGTGATGATTCAACATTCTGTATTAAATATTAAAATTTCTGTTAATAATATATGTTCTATCTTGTGAGTCATCTCAATTACAGCCCAATCTCTTTAGCCAGTAAATAACTAAAAGACAGGGATCTCTTCATCTTGGAAAAGCTGGCGGTGAGATTGACTAATGCAAACAGGAAATCTGCTTCACGGCCTTTTTTTTTTTTTCTTCGACAGAATCTGCATGCTGTTTGAACTATTTGATTCTTCCATTGCTGATATATACATAGTTATTTCTTACATGTTTAAAAGTTTGTAATTTTTTGTAGAAATCTCAGAAAATTTGGTATATTTAGCAATCAAATTTGTTTTTTTTTTTTTTTCCAATATTATAGCTCCTTAGATCTGTTTTATTTGAACTTACTGAAATGTGTTTGTCAGACACTGATGGTTTTCCTTTTGCATCTAATAAAACAGTCAATCTTAATGGCTTTTTTCTTCTTTTTCACTTCTTGTGGCCACTGTGAGCCTGAGTGGAGGTATGGGGCTCTCAGCAGTACTTACAGCATCTGATGGAGAAAAACAGAGTTCTGAAACAATCTCCTCAAGGGGAAAGTTGTGGGGCAGTTGTGCTAAATATTGTTCTGTATCATGCAAGCATAACAGAAGTAAACTGAGAGTGTTAGGGAAATGTATGATGTGCAGTTGTTGCTCAATTGCAAGATTATAAATGCTTTCAAATCTTGTCTGTGGAATCATCTTTGCCCTTTGATCCTTGTAGGCATGGTCACTGTCTGAGCCATCTGCAAATAGGGAAAATGTGACTATATTCAGTTTCTCTACCCCCATCACTTCTGCGAATGATACTTCAAGAGAAGTACTTGGAGCATTTTTCATTGATTTCTTTTATTGAGAAGGAGACAGTTTTCCTACTTAGAGAAGTGATTCCTGTAGTCAGAAAGTAATGGCTTCTTTCTTGTTTCCCATACTATTTTTAGACAGAGGTGGGTTTTGCAGGAGACAGTGAGCTCTTCAAGATGAGAGGATGCCTCTTCCCTTTTAAGAAACAGTATGTTTGGCTATGGAGCACAAATAAATAAAAATACAGGTTTCCCATAGATCTGAGATTATTTATTAGCTGCTGTTCTGCCTCTCAGAGACATGTCTGTGCTTGTTTAATGTGAATTAAAATTTTGTGAAAGCAAGTACATGGGAAGTCTTAACAATGGAAGAGACCCTTCTTATGCAAGGTAAAATGAAGGAGAAAAAAAAAACACAAAACACTCAAAACCTTTCTTTGTTTTTGCAGGATGAGGCTACACCAGCTGACAAACAGTATAAACAGGAGCCAGCCCAGGTCACTTACTCAACATCAGCTGTTTCCAGCACACAGGAGGTGTTGTACATCAATGGAAATGGGACCTACAGTTACCATAGTTACAGAGGGCTCGGAGGTGGGCTGCTAAATCTCAACGATGCTTCTAGCAGTGGTGAGTTGCCTTATGAAATATTTTTCTTTGTGTATGTGCTCACGTGTATGTTTACTCTGCTGCACAGAAAGCTAGTCCAAGGGATTCAGTATCCATGGAGTGTAAGTGGATAATGAGGAGGAATGCAATCCTGCAGATGACTACTGCTAAACAAAATTCTTGTTCTCTGGATGTTACAAGTCTCTTTCAGTTTTTCAGTTTCAAGGGACTAATTCACAACAGTCTTCAGTGAGACTGAACTCAAGCTGTGTGGCTGGAGTTTGAAAGCATGGAGCTCCATACTTTTTATGAAGGAAATGAATTAGCATAGATTTCTCAGATGGTTTATCTGGCTAACTTAATTTACTGTAGGTAAGAATCTGGCATGACAAGTGTCAAATGAAAAATCCTCAGTCATTGAGGAGTTTTCCGCTTCAGGTGCGTGGACTAACTTTGGCAAGACAGGAGGTGTGCAGCTACAGCCTACGTTTTTCAGCATGCTAAGCAATTTTCAAAATGTTATCAAGGCTGCAGACTGCAGTTTATGGTATACTGGTGACCTTCAGTTGCATCTTCTTCATCTCTCTTCTGTGATTGATTTGTGCTATATATTTAAAAGGCTCTTAAAATGCAGTATTTTAATTCACAAAATTGTTTCACTTAGAGAGTGAATGATGATTACAGTTGTTTCCATATGAATGAAAAACACATGCAGTGTTTAATATGATTTCTAATCAAACGTTTTCACAGGAGTAAGACTGTGGAAATCTGTTTTCCTGGGAAAATATACAAGAACTTTAAAATTATTTTACACTATTTTACATTATTACATTATGGTCAGAGAATGTTTAAGTAAGTTCCCACTGAAAACAGTTTGCGTTTGCTCCTTCGTTCAAGTATAGGTAGGATTGATCTTCCCATGCATCTTCTTTGTCCGTAGAACCCATCAGAATTGTTCTATGTAATCCTAAACTGTGGTTTATGTGCTGTGTGGAATCATGACTGTGTTGTATTCCTGTTCTTCCATTCAGACCTCTTGTAATTGGATACATTTTTGTAATTCCCTTTTAACAATGGACTGCAGATTTTAGGCAAGAGTATTTTGTCACTTCTGTATAGGCTTTATTTAAATTTTAAAAAAAAACCAAACAAATTTGGCATCATAAATTAGTCTTGCTTCCAGATTAGAAGCAACGCTTTCTTTGTATCATTAATGTAGAGGAGTCTAGTGCTTTGTTGTAACTAAAGCTGAAGATGGTTTTTGTAGGGAAAAAATGGTTATCCTGTAATCCAGAGACTGCACAGCTAACGTTGTCACTTAACTGAGGGGAGTTCACTGCATTCCACTGTGTAGCAATACCAGGATATAGGAATCAGTGGAAAGCTTATGGGTTGCATAGTGATGTATGTCCAAACATTTCTTCTTCCTCTCCTTTTCCTACTTGCCCTGGCAAATTTGGCTGTTTTTTTTTTTTTTTTTTTTTTTTTTTTTTTTTAAACTTTGGAAGACCAAGTAAACCATTGCACCTCTTCCAGTTGGCTCTGCACAGTTGCAACATTGTACAGAGTTGTCCATCTTCTCTGCAGGGATCTCATGGGATCCAGATCTGCACAAACTTACTATCCGTGTGACTGCACTTGGAAACCAGTTGTTAATGCTAACAGTCTAGCTGGCTGCAGGTCTGAGTCCCACCTGCCATTTCAAGAAGTTCATTAAGGAAGTTGTGTAGTCGGAATGCCACAAGTTTGTTAGTTTCATTGACACTAAAGCAATCAGTAATCAAACTGATTATCTCTGGATTACTGAGTGCAAAGTCTCTAGCTCCATTAGCTAGTATCCCTGTAGGACAAACTTGGAGGATTTGGAGGTCAGTTATTTGGGATTTGATCATCATCTCCTACGTGTTCACGGATATTTGGTTTTTCATTCTTGATTGGGGTTGTAGTTGAGTAGTAACAAATTCCCTTCTGACTGATCTCATATGGTGGTTGTTTTCAATCATTATTAATTTCGGGGAATCTTGTTAATTCCCTCTCTGGAAAATTGAGAGTTTTTTGCAAATTGCTTTTAGAACCTAGATGAATTTTAAGAACACATTTCCTCTTCAGTTCAGAAACCAATCAAATGCTCTCATCACCTTTACAAGTGTTCTTCTAGTGTAAGAATAAATACACATCTCAGTCGGAATACACATATAAACAAATACAATCTGTTTTTGTGTATCTTCTAAAACAAGGAAAAAGGAAGAAGTTGGAAAAGCTAGCTAAAATTCGTAGCTTGAGTATCTATTTCTGGGCATTTCCACTCAGTTAACAATTTAATTTCCTTCCCTATAGAGTTAATTCCTACACTGATACCATCTTACAGACTTTGCTGTTTGCTCACCAAACAGTTTGGTGGCTTTGGCTCAGGGATCTATCTGTGTCTGCTGTTGCAGTGCTTCCCTCCTCAGTCTATCCTTCCACATGGCAAATTACAGATCCATAATTAGCTCCTTACACAACCGTATGGAGCGAGCCTGCAACAGCTAAATCCAAGCAAGCAGCAGCTTGTACAATGACCCTTATTTTATTGTAGGAGTGAAATAAACACATCAGGGAAAGGTGTGGTCTTTTAAGTCTTTTTTTTTTTTTTTTTTTCCCCCTGCTTTTAAACCATCTATGCAAACCAGCTCAGCTTGAAAGCTTCATCTGAACAGCAACGAATCTGCAGGTTGTCAGAGCCTATTTCAGCCTGTACGCAGGTTGGAGAGAAACTGTTGACTCTTCTAGATGCTCAAGGCGAACTACTTGTCGAGAAGTGTGGCTTTCCATGATTCTTGTTTAAGTTTGATGAAGTTCCTGCTTACAGAGCTGAAAAGAAAAGCTTCAGAATGATCTCAATGTGAATGAAATTGCCTTGCCAGCCACAAAGGCTTTATCTGACCCAGCTCCGCATACCTGGAGAGATATCCAGCTTGAGGGCAGGAAACAAACTACTCCATTGGGAGCAAAATAATTAATTGCCACTATCATTTGTCAGAGACCCACAGAAGTAGGAACACCCCGGATGTCTCTGTCTGATGGATTACCATTTGACCCTGCACACAGCAAGGGGGTTGAAACTAGATGATCACTGTGGTCCTCTTCAACCCAGGCCATTCTATGATGATGATTCTTTCCTGGTGTCTGACAGCTGTCAGGACTGGATGTCTACCAAACCACTTTGTTTCCCAAGGCCCATTTTCCCTTAGAGAATATGTTTCTAGTGCCACTGCTGGGCTTCCTCTAGGTGATCTGGGAACAAATTCTCTGTCAAATTTTCCAGGCAGAAATGTCAGCTATTTCTAACTGTGTCTGCAAGACTCACCCAAGACATTACCTTGTATTATGGTATGACACAGCAGTTCTTCTGTCTCTGTTTCTCTACACAGATCTGCAGCCAACTTCCACTACAGCCACAACTCAGCATTGCATCCCAGGCTCCACGAACGTCCAGTCTCCTTCCAACTCAGGTAAGTCTTCCGGGCAAGTCCTAATAAATTCACACTCTGACCAGATCCTGAATCCACACAAGTCTCTCGCATTCCCCTTTCCCTCAGGCAGGCCTTCACACCCTGGCCAAAGTTCCTGTTGCCCAGCAAGTCACTCTGCTCATCTCCCGCTGCTGCCCCATGATGAAAATGGCCTGCTCTGTAGGCCATTGTCAGCTTTACCTACATGCAAATCAGCCTTCTTAGTCCTTCAAGCTCCTGAAAAGTCTTAAAAATATTATCCAATCAGCTCAGGCTGCAGGATCTCTGTAGTAGTTTTGTAAAATCTATCTCATACTCAGTCCAAGTTAACCTCTGTTGATATTTGTTGCTGACATACAGGGGAATCTGATCTAGTACTTGAACTAGTGGATGACAGCCCTACCTGTGGCAAGAGGGTTGGAACTTAGTGATCCATGGGGTCCCTTCCAACCCAAGCCATTCTATGAAAATTACTGTATGTCTTTTCCATCTTTCCCTTTACGCAAACTTGTTTTCCTTGTTTATAAACCTTGCCAAGCTTTAACTATTTGAACTTGAAATTCAGTGGAATTTGAAATTTTCCATCCAGAGGTCACCTGTAGGCTGAAAATTTTTGAAGTTGTTTCATCAAAAGTAATTTAGCCACAGATTATTGGGAAGGTGTGCCAATTTATGTGCTTATAAGGAACACCAGCACCTTTATGAAATGGCCCACAAACAACACTTGGCAGAGGGAGTTGTCATAGGGATTTTCTCTGTTCTGAGAAAATGTGCTCAGATTTGGTGAAGCTGTAAAGATTATCATCTGTGAAACTTTGACATTTGAATGTTTGGTAGGGGTTTCTTGGTAATAAAGTAGAAATAAGTAATTAAAGACAAAAAAAAAAAAAAAAAAAAAAAAAAAGGCCAACTGAGAATATCAGGAGTCAAGCCAGTTCTTAAAGTGCTGACTGGGTCACCCGCAGCATGCTGGCCATGATGCAGAGGGTGAACAGGCAACCACACAGTTGCCTTCTCCAGCATTTCTTTACGTGTTTACTGCTGTACAGTTTTCTGTGTTTTCAGTGCTATCCTTCTGAAATCAAAGTGGAGCTAGAAAGGAAAGGCAAAGGAGCCTCTCTTTTATCACAGAGATGCAGAACAAGACATACAGTTAGGAATCTGTGAGGGCGTGCTTAGTTCCATTTCAAAAAGGCAAAATGCAGTGCTGGGAGAAATTGGCATACGTTGTGGCAGAAGTGGGAATTTCCCTCCATTAAATACTGTCTGAATTGTGTATTAAGATCATCCTCATATTTCTTCCTCTACTCTTCAAATTATCAGCTGCATAGCATTTGCAAGTATTGTCTTGCTCCCACCATAAGAACTGTGATGAAATGTCTGTGAATTAAACTGACGGTATCTTTTCTGCCTTTGTACAAAGTCCAGGAGACGGGCAAGACAAGCGTATACTACGTAACTAATCTCCTGTGATGGATATAAAATGTTACTGGAGTGTCTCATATAATCCTGTCACTGAAAACCAGTGTGTTTGTTGAAAATGCACGATGTTCAGTGGCTGTAGGTATTTTTGTATTTTGACATCTCTAATCTCAGGCAACAGTTTAAATTATCTAAAAATATGTTTCCCAGAGGGAAGGGTGTAGGAGGGAGAAAGAAGCTTGAAAGGCCCATTGCATTGGTCCCTGATTTCCCAATCTAAGATCTCTTGACACTTATAAAAATAGTTTAAGGCACATCTGTTCTGTTTAGAGGTAGGAAGACAAGAGACTGACAAATGCATAATATTGCAATGAAACAGTCCTATAATAGTAAATACATCCGATTTTGGGAAAGCTGCATGTTTTGATGTTTTTTTTTTTTTTGTTTGTTTATTTCTGTGGGAATAGAGGTGAATCCAGTACAATATTCACTTCTTGCTTGTGGTAGCAATGGTAGTGGGAGGATGGTTGGATGATCTTGTAGGTCTTTTCCAACCTTGTAATTCTATGATTCTTCTGAAGCCTTTTATGGGGAAAAAAAATGGAGAAGTATGACACAAAAAAAACTCTATTAAAGAGGTTCCTTAGCTGCTAATAAAAGTATAGAAGCTTAGATGCTTAAAATCATTCAACTTTTAAAAATGATTTATTATTCTTAATAATTATTAGAGATACTGAACGAATCATTGACATATTTATTATTCATTTATTGATTTTTTTACTTCAGCAGTAATTATAAGATTTCTGTCTATTTAGCTACAGCATTGTAGTAGGGGGCAATGAAACACAGCATACAATTCTAAAGGGAGTTTTGCTGGGGCAGGTGATACTGTCTAGGCAATCACTAATAGTACCTCTATGTCTGACTCCTATTTTGAAATTTAATACAAATTGCTTTGCTGAAAGTAGTGCATGAGGGAATAACCAGCTTCATTTCAGACCTGCAACTTATAGAAAAGCCACTTGCCCACAGTGTATTAATGGCAGATACTCCCAGCAGCTAACTTGATAAGTGGTTGTCTAACACATGAAGAGTGGATTTTCAGAGTTCTCCTACTTAGCTTGATGTGATTCCAGCAGGAACTGTTTCACTTCACAGGGGAAATTAGGTCTGTGTAACTGGACTGAGGTGGTAAGTGTACAATATTTCTGTGTTCAAGTGTCGAACAGGTGGCCTCTCCAAGGGGCAGAGGGAACGTATCTCGGAGTCTTCAGAAAGTATACTGCAGAGATTATAAAGGAAAGGATCTGCCTTGTGAATATGTTTAACCCACTGTTTAAGAGAACGTAGTGCAGCTGTAGGAACGTGGGCGGTGAATAATGAGTTGAACTCATGCACTAAGGAAAATAGATGAAGTAAATATCCAGTTTTTGCCTTTACAGTGTGTGCTTGATCTTTGCTTGCACACTGCCACGGACACTGTGGAACCTGTTGATGGTTGCATATAGGATTTTTAATTGTCCTGAAATACTCTAGGGTGGGGAATAATATGCTAAATCATGCAGTACTACCTTGGAGGACCTTCACACTACAAAATTTATTGCAAAAAATTCAAATTAGGCTTTCCCCACTATTTAAGAATACACTTCCCCATTCTTGTGAAGATTGGCAGGATAATAAGTACTGTTAAGCATATGAAGGGAAAATACTTCTACTTAGGAGAAATAGTGCATAAGCTACTCAATTTTCTCCATATTTAGGCATCTCTAGTTATGCTTCTGGAGATGGAGGTATATGAAATGTATACTGTAACCAGTTATTTTATGATTTATGTGATTTATTTGCCTGGGTGAAGGAATGTGGTGGAAATGTATTAAGTTTTAGGTTTTTCAATAGCTAATTTAAACAAAATTACACAGGAAAATCAATACTAGAAGAGTAAGATGCATTTATTCCTTATCCTAGAATCATAGAATGGCTTGGGTTGTAAGGGATCCCAAGGACAGGGATCCCTGTCACAGATAGGGTCCCCAACCTTCCCTCCAGGTGTGGTACTAGATCAGATTGCCCAGGGCCCCTCCTACCTGGCCTTGAACACCTCCAGTAATGGTGCATTGACAACTTCTCTTGGCAGCCTGTTCCAGCATCTCACCATTGTCTCTGTGAAGAACTTCCTTCACATCCAATCTAAACCTTCCTTCCATGAGCTTAAAACCATTCCCCCTTGTGTCACTGTCTACTCTTGTAAGAAGTTGATTCCCTGCTTGAAGGACTAGTTATGACTGATAGAACTACAGATAAGCTAAAATACTTTTAGCATAAAACAGCCTAAACAATCTTTTAATAATCTGTAATATTGCCAGTAACTGTAATATAGACAGTGTCTATCATAGCTATTAAAAGATGAATCCAGTGTAATACGTCATGAGATGAGTGTCTGAGTGAGATATTATCCCAGATATGAAGCTTGGCCTGTCATGGGCAAGCTTTGGAGGTGAGGCATAGGGGTCACATTGCAAAATTAAAAGAACTGAAGTCCTTGTCCTCACATCATGGCTTCTTTTCCTTCTGTTTGGTTCTCTGACAGCACGTGTAGCTTCTCTTCCTGGGAAGGCAAGGTATATTCACTTACAGAAACCATAGCCAGGAACTCTTTTCTGTGTGTCTGGGTTTCTTTGTTTTATTGCCTGGGATGCTTTTCTTTGAAGGGAAGAAGGACACTGTTTACTTGTTGAGAGCAAAGCAAAACTTGCCTTGGGAATGAAAAACCTATTTTCCTCCTACTTATAAATAATAATTAAAAAAAAAGTTTGAAGTAGCCCGGTGAAATTAATTTCTTAACTGCACTTGCACACAACAATATTGGTGGTTGGTAGATGGCTGCACTAGATGATCTTAAAAGTCTTTTCCAACCTTAATGAGTCTATGACTCAAAGGCACCTATTTTGAGGAATTAGAGAGCTGTCTTCATAATCGTTAATTGGGATATCTAGGAGCACAGGGCCAGGTCTGCATTTTGACTACAAATCTGTGGGGAGTTGCACTTGTGAGTACATTGTTACATTTGTGAGGATTCTAATAACTTTCTCTTCAACCACTTAAAATCTAGATTACTAAGGAGAAAAGCCCTTCAGTTTCCTTTCAGAAAAAAAACACCTGTGCTCTGCCACAGCACTCCATTCTGCCCTATATTGTGTGTGCGTTTTAGGCTATGACATGAGAACCAAGGCAAGAGCATGAAAGCTAAAAGCAGGTTTACCTGGAGCACAATGCCCTCAATATGTCAGTGGTAGCTTTTCCACTGCTGCCTCAGTAAATATACAAGTCTTTAATGGCTTCTCAGCACTGTTCATTCCAGCTGACTTTATGATTAGTATACCCTTCTCTATGCTGGTTTAAGGTTTTACTTGGAAGTATCCTCTGTGCTTCTTCCCACTGTGATAGTTTGCCTGTAGTGTATGTTAGCACTGAAACATTCGCTGAGGTCATTGTCCTCTTATTTATCCTTTGTGTTCTGGAAGTCATTTAAAGTCAATTCATTGATGCTAGTGTAAAACTAGATAATATAGTTGTAAGGCTAAGTAGTGTTCATGCCAGTTACATAGCAGGAACTGGGAAGATCTAAGCTGACCCTTTTGGTTTGAGTAGTTTCTTTATGTAGTCCCATTTTCCTTTCACTAGAGGGGAGGTTTTCATTAACTTCAGTGAAAATGGAAACATGGCAGTTTCAGCGTTCTTTGTGGTCTCAGCCATACTGTTGCATAAACATAAAAGAAAGAAAACATTCTTGGTTTTGACCAGATTTTCTGCTTCTGGAAATTGGAGCAACTCTTGACAGTAATGCTTAATCCAGCAAATATGTTTTTGAATCCTGTGGTTCTGATGAGACTATTTATGTACATCTCTGGAATACAAATTGGTGTGGTTAGTAATCTAAAGTTGAATATGCTAGATTTTATAATGATTCCAATCTCTTTAGAGAGAAACATGTATCCAGTGGGCCAGTGATGAGAAAGCTTGGGTACTGACAGTTTTTCCAGATGAAACTGAACAGTGACGTTTATCTCATAGGAAAGCAAGATGTACTGCTGTGGATAACTTAATCTCAGTTCACAGAAGATTAATATGGGGTTAGGCTGATTATCTGCCTGATAAAAGTATAGATTTGCTACATTGCCAAGTGAATGAATGCTGTTTATCCAGGTTTGCATATACTAAACTTCCTGATATTTACTTACATAGGTATGGGAGGGATGGAACACCACCCTCCAAGAACAGACTGAGAGAGCTGGGGCTGTTCAGCCTGGAGAAAAGAAGGCTCCAGGGTGACTTCATAGAGACCTTTCATTAACTAAAGGGGAGCTATAAGAAAGAAGGGAACAGGCTCTTTATCAGGGTCTGTTGTGACAGAAGAGGAAATGGTTTCTAATGAAAAGATAGGAGATTTAGTCTAAATATAAGGAAGAAGTCTTTTACAATAAGGAGGTGAAGTACTGGAATAGGTTGGCCAGAGAGGTGGTAGATGCTGCATCCCTGGACACCTTTAAGGTGAGGCTGGGGGCAACCTGATGTGGCTGTAGGTGTTCCTTTTCATTGCAAGGGAGTTGGACTCAATGTCCTTTAAAGGTCTCTTCCAACTCAAAAGATTCTGTGATATGATTCTATGATAGACATCCTTATGTTTAAAAAGGACCTGAGTCCAATTTTGCCTGTATAAATCTCCAGGCAAAAAAAAAAAAAAAAAAAAAGAAAAAGAAAAAGAAAAACAACTTTGAATAGTGCTCTGTTGAAAAAGGCAGACACCTCATCAAAGCATCATATCCCTTAGCTGTGGTCCTGGGAATTTCCCCAGAAAGGTGGACTTCATGCTAGCAGGTTGCTTTAACTGTAGTAATTTGCAGTCTCCCCTCAGGAGTGCTGTCTTCTGCTGTAGCAAACACGTTCTTGAGAGCATTCTTTGATGAGAACACATTGGTACAGTGGATAAGCTGCCAGCAGAACATGGTGATTGCTGCAGATTCTCCTGCCAGTGCTCAGACCTTACAGGGTCCTTGCAGTATATTGCCAGCTGTATGCAGCCCACAAGAAATTTACAGTGTGTTTCTACCTATATCAGCCAGATTGTCACCAACCTCATCAGGTCATTCATGACTGGCTATTTAACACATGGCATCGGGGCTATTCAAGTGAATGACCAGTTACCTATGGCAGTAAGAGATTCACAATCTGGCCATGTGCTAATTGAAGCAACAGAAAGTTGTGAAAATAGATATCTAGAGGGTGTAAGTTCAGTATGCTGTGATAATGAATGCAAGTGTGCAGATGGCCTGCCTGCCAGCAGCAGATCCCATCAGTGTCAGGTCAAGCAGATTGCACTGCTGGGATACCCCAGAGGCTGAGTTACTGCTGGCAGAGGACTTGTGTCACGTGAGTAGAATTTTGAGGATTCCTGTCATAGATGAAAACAAATCTCAGTGATTCCTGTCAAGGGAATAGTAACTGGGCTGTTACTTGTATGTGCTGCTTCTCTCTGGCACTCAACTGAGAGTACAAATCCACAGTTTTGCTGCTGTGGCTTTGTCACTACAAACCTGTGGTGGTGAAATGTCTCTGGCAGCGGGATCTGAGCCTTCTTTTCTTTCCCTTTGTTGCCTGCAGGTCCAACAGATCTCAGTATGAAGAGGCAGTTAGCAAGCAGCTCAGGCTCTTCCAGCAGTACAAGCTCCAGGCCCCAGCTGAGCCCCACTGAAATCAACGCTGTAAGGCAGCTGGTGGCAGGGTACCGGGAATCGGCTGCCTTTTTATTGCGTTCTGCAGATGAACTGGAAAACCTGATTTTGCAGCAGAACTGAGTCACGTGACCTACACACCGGCCTGGTCTTATCTCAGAGTTTCCACTAATGACATTTTGATTTCCCAGAGCACACACTTCAGTTACCGCGCAGTCTTTTAGGAGAGTTAATTACCATAATGCCACACTGTTCTTGATCCATAAAGTGATGTGTTAAGGGTGCTTCAAGTGAACTTCGACCTCTGGTATTTCTGAGGTACTTTACTGTGTCCAGCCTATTGCTTTTGTCTTAGTGTGTCAGCATAAATATCGAAACAGTGGCTAGAAATTAACTCCTTCTAACACGTGGAGGAAACAGAAGATGCTGTGGTGTTTTTTTGAAAAATGGTTCAAGATCCAAGTGCAATATTAGTGGAATGTGATACTGACTCATTGGACTTAAAGCTGCAGTATATGGCAAACTGTTGCCAAATGTCCTGTTGCTACAGGGCACAATTGCAATTAAAAGGATCTTGTATTTTAAAAAAATGTAATTTTTATAAAAAGCAAAACAAGAGATTTTTTTGTTTTCATTCAAGATTTTTCATTTTTACTTTGGTAAACTTTTTCACTGGTCCTGAAAATGTTTTGAGGAGCTATTGTAAGTCCCCCTTCCTCTCTTGACCCCCTGACTGTGCCCTTCTCCCCAACTTCATATTCTTTCTACAGTGAGTAACTCTTGATGCTGGATAATTCTCCCCTGTGTACTGTAAATTGTCATCTACAGGATACCTTCCAAAGGAAGCATGCATTTCCTGCGTTCATACCATTCTCAGCTCCATTCTGTAATATATTGCAGCTTTACTAGCAATTAATAAAAAGTTGAGGGTTTTTTTAAAAGAAAAACAACATATCACTGAGAAAACAAAACGAGAAGTTGATTTCTTACAGTGAGCTCATCTAACTCCATGATCACCGCTGCTGTCCTAGACAAGTCCCTCGAGTTGTGATTGGATATAGGTGATGAATGTTAAGAGGTTGCAAGTGACAATCTGAAAATTTGCACTCTTGTGTGTATTTATTATTTTTTCCTTAATTTAAACAAAATTCTTATGGAGGAAGGTCACTGACACTTCTGGAATGATTTGTATAATGCCCAGGCCTAGCTAAAAACTGTACAAAAATGTAAATGGATGCAGCTGCAACTATATTGAAACTCTTCTCTCTCCCTCACCCCCCCACTCTTCCCAACCCCTCTATTTCTTATTTTATAATATTGATTACACATTAATGGTGTTTTCTTTGTGCACTATGGCAGGTTTATTTTTAAGTATATAGAAAAGGTAATTTAGTTTATGCTTACTGTACTATCTGTTCTGTTGTTTGGCTTTTGTTGAATAACAATTTTCTTGTGCATTCCTAAATTTGCCTTATTTCATGTACAAAATTTTATGTAATTCCATTTTTTGACAATGAGTTTAAGGCATCGGTGATATTTTATATCTACTTGTTACATATAGTTTTCCAAGTAATGACTGTGATTGTGACCAAGTAATGTGCACTTTTTCTTGTAACTGTGGACATTGCTATGCTTTTTTTTCCTCTAGTGTTTCTAGAATTACTGTTGCTTACAGTTATGTAAAAGAAAAAGAACTTTTGTGATACTGTTGGTGAATATTAATGTGAAAAAGCCTATGAAATATGAGTATTTTGAAGGTACATAGATACACAAACATCTAAGTTGTGAACTGATGTTCACATATTTAAATGGGAATTCAAAACCTGAGGGCTGGAATCATTTCCTCTGTTTCGTTTGGGTAAATAAACATATTTCTGTGTTTAAATACATGATTGTGAAACATCGTAACATTTAAATTGCCATAGCATTTAAAGTTATAAGAATTATTCTTTTTCGACAGGGAAAACAGACTTCCAGTCCAATTCATGCAGACAGACAAAACTCATTTCTCAAAATAATTGGTTAAATCCAGTAGGCTTATCTAGCTGGAGCTTTGTTTTAGTGAAGAATTTCCTCAATAAGACTAGAAGCTTGTGGTCCATAAATCATAAGACCCAAGTCACTAACATTTTATAATATTAAATTGGCTGAAGGCAACACCATTTTGTGACTCTGCATTTGTTTAAGAATAAATAAATAAAAAAAAACAAACATCAGGTGTCTATTTTAAAAGCACTTTTGTATATGAGAATATTGTTTCAATTCCTTACTAGCTGCTAACCTATCACTTGAGAAATGCATTTGCTTCCCACATCTACTCACAATGTTTGTGAAAGCCTGTAGCTTGTCTCTCCTATAAAAGTATGATTACCTCAGCTTCTGTCTCTCCAGACATTCAAAAGTCTATTAAGATCTAAGTGTCCTTTTCCTCTCTTCCACTTTTATTTAGCTCTAACTTCTTCTGTCTCTTGCTTGTCAAAGGGGAGATTGCTATGTTACTGAGGCAAAGGACAACACTGGCACATGTTTTCCATTTAAAAAAAAAAAAAAAAAAAAAAAGTAAAAATTACTTTTGTTAGGTTTTGTTAGTCCTGTCTTATAGGGCCAGCATGCAGCTACCAGCAGCTTGTCCAGAAGGCTGCTTCCCAGCCAGGAATGCTTCTCAACTGGACAGCCTCAGTACTTTTTGAGATGCTTTGCTAAATCCAAATAAGGACAATAGGTTAGGGAAAAGAGATTTCTGTCAGTGGCCTACTCTCTGAATCCTCTTTCCAACTGTAAATCCTTCACTTGAAGGAGAAGAGGAAAAGTTCCGGGTCAGCAAATGAACTTCAAGGCCCGCTGCTAGCCTTCCCCTTTTTCTGCTCTATCCCCAACTTTCATTAAGCATTCTCCAAGAATGTTCATTTAGATACAGAGATACTTAGCTTTCAGCCCTCGAGTGCTCTATCTGTGCCAAATTCCAGCGGACTAATGGAGTTTTTAATCTACAGCTGCTTCTACCTCTGTGTACTGGGTTTATTCTTTCCTTCTTTGGATGAATCATAGATTCAGCCATAACTTCCTTTTTTAAGAGGGTACTGAAATTTAATCCCATCCTGTGAGGGAGAAACTATATATCTCAGTCCATTTTTGTGTGTACAAATATAGATCCAAGCATCACAATCAAATTTGCTCTCTTGGATCCAGTACAGCTCTCACAGCCACCTATTGTCTGCTTGCCCTGAACCTCCTAAGGAAGTAATGGCTCAGGTGAAGAACTCCCTCAAGCCACAGACTGAATAAGATATCCAAAAATAACTTGAGAGAAATCTTTTACTTAGCCGCATCTTCTGTAATCAATGCTCAATAACCTCAGTCTAAATATCACTATTAGGATAAGGCCAATCCCTTCCAGTACAGGCACATCTCTGAGTATTCCTGCCTAAGTCTGCCTTCAGAAAAGCATTCCCAATACGTCCAGTTATTGTACCAGTGCTTCAAGCTGATGTATGGCTCAGTACACCTCATCACCTCATCCAGGCAGACTGTAGAGGCTGCTCCACCTCTCTCCAGCTACCCTAGGGTTTCCTGTCCTGCAAAACCCTCGGTCTTCCAGGGAGTTTCTGGAAAAAGAAGACTTGGAGGAGAACATCCTTTAATCTCCTTAAATTCCCATCTTATCTGGTGTCCAGAGTACCAAACTTGACAATGTTGACAGTGCATTGGGTCTCATTAGTCTTAACTATTCACACTGAGAGGCAAGTTGTTATTCTCTCTTCAAATTCCAGGGTGGTTTTTGTTGATAGGGCAGGCAACTGGGCAGCAGCTTTAGAAACAACCCTAGACTGTGGGAGTGGGAAATGCTACCAGCTTAGTAACTTAGTAGATTTGTTTACTGTACTTGACATTGTCAGCTGGAAAACTAGAGATAGAGCACATGAAGAAAGGTCTGTGGACAAATTATTTCTTCTAGGTTGACACCTTGCTCCTTGTCGTCAAAGAATACCACTGCCTCAGCAATGATGGACATCTCAAGCTCCAGAAAACCAGTGCATGAATAAGCAAGTTGCCTTTCCCTTATGGACAATCTTCTGAATGAGGAAAAACAGATGAGCACGTATATAACCATAGTTACAAAAATGATCAGAAAGCAGCTATACTGAAGGAATTTGATATTCTTTCTTGAAGGATCTGAGTGCCTGCTGACAACAGTAAGTGGAGGTAATTTTGTTGCTGAAATTCGACTCAAACTTGGAGAAAATTTGTTTTTCCTCAAGTTCCTATCCTGTGTTAAAAACCTATTGTAAAGTTTTAAAATCCTCCCATTTTGAGATGCTTGTCAGTCATTCATAATGAAGATGTATACTTTCTACTTAAAACTGATCTGATTGGAGACTAGAGTCAGGACTATCCTGACATCCACTACTGAAAACCAATTACTGGCACATGAAAATGGATTCTGAAATAACGACACAAATCAGATGATTACTGAAGTAAGTACCTAAGAATATGAAATGACTCTGTGGGAGAAGATCAATCTTGCACTTAGCCTTGTATCCTGGCTCTAACAATAAATAAAACAGATAAAGACGTGGCAAATATAGCAAATACAGCAATTCAGAAGAATAGATAGAGCAGTGTTTTCAAAATACACATTCATGGCCTTCAACAGTTTAAGGCCATAGCAGATAAGTTCCCATCCTGTTACTTGCTCATTACTCCCAGCAGAATGAGGGAGAGAATCAGAAGTGCAAAAATGAGGGGGGGAAAAAAAAAAAAAAGTAATGTTTAATAGGTGAAGAATAAAACATAAAAAGACAAGAGTGACAGAAAGGGAATCACTCAATACATCTGATCAGTGGACTGGTCCCAGAGCATTCAGAAAGTGCTTCAGAAAACCTTCCCCCTAGTTTTAGAGAAATTGAGAATGTCATCTGATAATGACATTACATGACAAGATATCTCTTTGGATGCTATGGGTCAACAGACCAAGATGTGACCCTTCCTAGCATTTAGCCCAGCCTACTTAAAGTGAGGAGGCACAGTGGAAAACAGAAGGCCTTGATGTCATTCAGACACACTTCAGCAACAGCTAAAATGTTGGTGCATAACTTGCTTTGGATCTGTGCTGAAGTGTCATAAAATATGGACTATTGTAAAGAAGTTGCTCTGTCCCAGCCAAACCCAGTACTGAGACTCAGAAGTTTCTAGACCCAAAGCACATCCTTGCCATTTGGAATACGAAGGTATTGACCAACACCAGAAATCCATCGTGCTGTGCACTTCGCAAATATAGTGAGATATCATAAATGCCCTAAAAACCACTCTATCTACATGAATACCAGTTAGTGGGAGGAAAAAAACATGCACAAAAGACAAACGAGTTGCTTGAGGCTATGCAATCTGTGAATGCCTGAGCCAGGTCCATTGACTCCTTTCCAATATCCTGCCCTAGTAAACAGCACTCCAGATGTGCCAAGCACAGAATGTAAAGTACACAGATTGGATTCAGTTTTTTTTCTGTTAAGCTCTCCTTAGACTGGATCAAATGTTGGGGAAGAAGGCGCAAAATTTCATATTCTAACCCAAGTAGTCTGTTTAAATCTCTTATACACTACTGGGAAAAAAAAAAAAAAAAAAAAAAAAAGAGCAAAGGAGAACTGGAAAGAATGTAAAATTGATATCTTACACTATCCAAATCAGTTAATTCATCTGTGGTAAAAGATATATTTTTTTTTTAATGCGAAGTTTTTCATTTCCTGTTGTGACCGGAATGTGTGGAACACAATGGAAAGGCATTCTCATTACTGTGACTATCTATATATATAAATAGATAGATAGGATAGCTGGGAGAAGGATCCAGTCTACTAATTGAGCATAGATAGGATTGCTCACATTCTCCCTGAGAGGCTGAGCAACCACTGACTCAGCAGAGGGATAGTCGCAGAATCACAGAATTGATTTGGAAGAGATCTCTGGAGAACATAAAGTGAAATCTCCTGCTAAAGCAGGTTCCCTACTGTGAGTTGCTGTTTCCAGATGAGTCTTGAATATCTCCTCAGAGTGTAATGCATGGAAAGCACAGCAGTAATAGCAGAATAGCACAACCCTAGGTTACAGCAAGTGAGGACAAGACCGAATGCAGCAGC